TTATCCATTCAATTTGATGCTATGGCCGACACGACCACAATCAATCATCTATTGTGTGTGCCGGTACCGTGTGGGATGCCGAGAACACACAAATAAGTGAACCCCAGTCCTGGCCCACAGCATGTCTACAGTCTAAAATGGATAAGAAAAAGATGCAAACGTCAATGTGGCTCAAGAAAGGTATAAGGAAAGAATGGTGAATTTCCTAGATATGAGAGAGTGATAAGAAGAGGCTCCAAGAAGGAGGGAGCACTCGATCAGGGCTGTGGAAACCCAAACAGTCTGTTCATATACTCATTGTCTGCCTGTCTCATTAACTACAGGCCTTTCAAGAGAGACATTATCTTCCCCTAATCAAAACCTAGTGCAAACCATAGAATACTATAAGTAGAATAAATAGAGAACAGCAAGACTAATAAGGATTCATGAGAAAGATATTAAAACTCTATATGCTTCCCATAGTTCCAACTTCAATCATCTATTACTGAATGATATTAGCATAATTCTGAGATAACATTTGGTGGGATATGTTTGGACAGATAAGTGTGTGCAGGTCTGAGCAGAGGGAAAGTTTTCCAAGCATAAACTTTGCCTGTTAAAGAGATGAGGAAGCAGGAGGTGTGTTTAGAACCTGACAGACCAATTTTTTAGCATGGAGCAGAGGATAAACATGGTAGTGGAAGATGAAACTGCAAAGTAGTTAGGTAGGACCATATCTGGCAGTTATTTGAATGGTTATCTGTGAGATTTGCTTCTAAGGAAGGCTGGCATATGATACATATCAGGCAGCTATGTACAAGCTGAGTCGTGATGGGTCTTTGAAGTCGATGGGATTAGGTGAGAAAGAAGGAAGGTCGATCAGGAGGCTGGTGGGAGACAAGAAGAACTGAGATGGATGGAGGTCGGGGAGAGGGTGGGGCATGGAGGGGTGGATTTCAGAGGCACGGCTTGAAGTGAGAAGAAATCTAGTACTGATTGAATACCTATGATGGTCAACATGAATGAAGATTTTGAGCCTCAGAAAATGAAACAACAGTAGAACTCCAGTGGAAAGAGCTGAACGAAAAAAAAAAAAGACTAGATTTGGGAGAGATATTGAAGAGTTAAATAAAAATGCTGGAGTTGTAGGGGTTGTTAAGACTGTCGGGGAAGTTGCTAGAGTACGAAGAACCTTGGGGAGCACTAATAGAAATGACAGAGCGGGCCTGGGGCTCTCCAAAATCCCTGACGTGAGGTTCTGCCTTGGTTTAGCTGGGTGTCTGAAGATAGAGACGACATCTGGTTACAAGCAGTTAGAGAGGGAAGTGAAGAAGCAGCTAAAATGATACAGAAGTCAAAAGAAGTCAGAGTTTTGATGAGAGGATGATCAATAGCATCCAGATGAAAGAAGACGAGAATTATGACAAATCTACTGGAAATAGCTATGGGGAGATCAGTAGGGACTGGAAAGAGAGCAGGGTCTGTGGGATACAGGGTAGAGAAGCCACATTTCAGTGGCTCTGTCACATCTATCTCAAATCATCAGCTTGATAGCGAACTTAGTGCGAAAGTTCAACACCATACATTTATACTAAACATGAACCTACTTTGCTTTATCCACAAAAGTGTTTCAGCAGCTGCCATTCCCTTTGCTCTGCAGAGCAATGACATAAACAGGTTCTCATTCCTTCTCTGAGTGGTCCTTGGATCCAGCTTTCCCAGAAGACTAAGACTATTAAGTTGCATTGTTTTGGATCATTTCATATTCTTCTTGACTTCTCTATTCTAGATAGGGTAGAGTTAAAAACAGACTATGAACTTTGCATTTTTATGACTTGGTTTGTCCCTTAAGACTCCCACTAGACTCCATTCCCATTGGGACCCCAGGACGGAGTGTAAGAGAAACAATGGTGGCTCTGGAGAGGGTTCGTGGAGAGTCCGGATCCCATTTTGAGGTGTCTGATTCTCTCTTTGCTCAGTCCATTTTATTTGTGACCTGGCTCATTCTCCAGGTTCCCTCCTGCTTGTCCCTCATTAGAAACCCTATTTGAGTATCTTCTCAGAGCCCAAACTGTTGGCTTAGTTTCCAGATTACCATCACAGTTTCTCCCCTCAGTGTAGTGAGGGTGGGCAATTGACAAATTGGCAACAGTTATCTTTATAAGAGAGTCTATGCAAGCCCTATATCCTGGCCTTATAAGCAGCTCTAACTGGGGTTGCCTCAACATAATGCTCTGGTGTTGGTATTGAATAGTTTTCTGCTTTTCTAATTCCACAGTGGGTGACTTTTCATCTGTCTTTAGAATAAGTCAGTCCTCCTGCTCTATGTGTGCCTATTGATACTACTGCTGGCCTCTCCTTGCCATTTGTACACATTAAAATACAATTAATTGACAAGTGGCCCAATGTGTTCCTTTGCATTTCCCAAAGAATACACTTTACATTTTTTGTGATGAGGATTTCAAGTGCCAGTATTTGGCCATCAGGGAAGATGGTTTTGGGAGGAGAAGGGTGGCCTTTCAATGCCTTTAAAGTCCTGCCACAGGGAGGATGGCCTTAGTAGAAGATCTGCCCTGGGCTCTACTCCATGGTTAACTACCACTGATGAGTTTATGTATGATCTCTCCCACGAAAATAGCCTTGGCTTCTATAATAAATCTCAACTGTAATTTGCTTACATCTAGAAACCAGAAGTCTTACCACAGCGTCTGCCACAATTACAAAGGCAGGTATAAAATCTTTCTGTTTGTTAGGATCTTATTTGCTCATCATGTTTATTGAAGGGTCATTGACTAGAGACAATCCCATTGCTTATGTAAAGGCAAGAATTCACAGTACACAGTAAGTGGAATAAATAAAAAGCAAATGCCTTCTAGAATATCTGGGAAGCTAATTGAAACTTGACTCTGCTCAATAGACCCCAGTCTTCTCAACCATCATTAGCTAATGACCACATAGCTATGCAGGAATCATGGTCACTTCCACTCAAAATGTGGGAATAGTTGTGTTTTCTATTCTTTAAAAAGTGCCATTGTCTAGATCTTTCTTTTTTGAAGCTTGGGGCATAGAAGAAGGGGAGAAAAACAGAGAAGAGCCTACGCATCCAGCTATTTGTTTTAAGTTATTTGATCTCATCCAATAGGGCTTCCATCAGTTTGGTACCGATTTTATACCCTCACATGTATTCCACCTTTCTCTAAAGGTAGAAATTCAGGCAGGAGGGACAGCGAGTTATAGGTTGTGAACGTGGGTGAGGACGTCAGCGCCTTCAAAGCATACACTCTGGGAGATTCTCTCCCAAACTGCTGTCTTCTATGAAAGTGTATTTGAAGCTCCACCTTGGAAATAACTTTTAGAATCACCCAGGAAAATGTACATTATTATTTTATATTCACAACGTGTTTCTGACCCATTTCAGATTCTACTCAGTTTGGTTGTTTATCCCACTCCTCACTAGCCTTGGTTTCAAATGACATCTGGCTGGCTCCAAAAAGTAAACACACCTTCAGAAGATGAAGATTTGCCTTCAATGAGGATAAGCAAAAAAAATGTTCCAGGCCGTGAGGGCAAATTTAAAGAAGTGATCTGAGTAATGTCCGTGTGGGAGGAATCAGCATGGAGCTTCCAAAGGAATTACTTTAAGAAGTATCTTTCATATTTTGAGCACTGATAGATTAAACACAAAGTCTTTAAGTTCATATCTCCATTTGGAACAGCATGAGGGCAGAACATCCATTTGCCAAAATGTACTGATGGTCACGAGATGCAGTTAGGCACATAATGAGATGGTGGCTTTTCAGGTTCACATCCTTTGGAGAACTGGGCTCAGGTGTTTCTGTGTCACAACAACTGATGGTTTCCTTTTTTCTAGCTTTTCGTGGTTGTTACACTTCCTTACTTAGTAAATGTCCTTCCATTAGAGTAAAAATGATCGTTGCTTCTCTGGTAGAGAACAGGCTTTTATTTCTTGGCCCATTCTAATTTAGGAGGGTTTATTGTCTAGTAGTGGTCGAGTCCCATTGAATTCAATCCATTTGTGTGTGATTGCATCTCAGCAGTAAAAACACTGAAAGAAGGAGAGTGTGATGGAGAGAGCATGGCTGTTGGAATGCGAGAGATCTGGGTTTGAATGCTGTCTTCCCCACGTTGGCGTTCTGTGAGTATGGACAACCTCTCAGAGGCTTGGTGTCCTCATCTACAAACCCTGCAGGCTTTCGTGAGGACTAAAAGAGATAATGCATATGAGATGCTTAGCATAATAGGTGCTCAGTAAGCGAGAGCTGTTCTAATAACAGTCATGCTGTGTGTAAGAACATGGTACAGTCCTCATGCCGAGTAGGTGTTCCTAAGATGTTAGTTTTCTTAAGGTTCTATGAACATCGAGCAATAGCAGAAATGGAGCCCGGAGTGCTTCCCGTAGCCCCTGCTAGGAGGAGGCTGGCAGTGCCTCTACGTGACCTGGATGGAATGACTAAGGGACATTGCACTGGATAGACAGCTTTGTTAATCCTTTTGGATCTCAGCTTCAGGACCCCTACCCAATGGTCTGGTTTCTAGGTGGGCTTCCCTAGATGACTCTTCTCATAGAGGCCTTACTGAGTATGAGCTGGATGAGGCACAGACCTTTCCTCGTTTAGAAGAAAGAGGCACAGACGTGCCCCCAACTTTGGGGGACAGGGTACAGCTGTCACTCTAACTCAACACCCTGTGAATAAGCACTGCTGTTGGCATGGTAATGGGTTGGTCACTTTGAAGCTTGTACTTAACCAACCAGCATGATTGATGAGGAGTCCTGAGTTAGCAAGAAGCCAGAGTAAAATGTTTTATGAGGTAAAGGATGTGTGTGAGGTGGCTTAAAAACAAATGGAAATTGGTAAACATGGTAAAAGGGGGTAATGCAGTGCGTGGTTACCACACCCACTGCTGACAGAATATAAAGCTTTGGGACGGGACCAAGGCTTACACCAGAGAAAAAGAATCAGGCTTTGAAACTGACCTTCAGAGATTCGCTCCGGCCCAGCACCATGCCTTACAACTGCTGCCTGCCCAACTTCAGCTGCCGCTCCAGCTGCCTCTCCCGGCCCTGCGTGGCCACCAGCTGCCAAAACATCCCCCTACCCGGGGCCTGCAACATCCCTGCCAACGTGGGCAACTGTGGCTGGTTCTGCGAGGGCTCCTTCAATGGCAGCGAGAAGGAGACCATGCAGTTCCTGAACGACCGCCTGGCCAGCTACCTGGAGAAGGTGCGCCAGCTGGAGCGGGAGAATGCGGAGCTGGAGAGCCTCATCCAGGAGCGGTGCCAGCAGCAGGAGCCCCTGATGTGCTCCAGCTACCAGTCCTACTTCCGGACCATCGAGGAGCTCCAGCAGAAGGTGAGGGGTGGGCACCACACTGCCAGATTCGTGAGCTATTGACTCAAACTTAACATATTCACTTCTGAATGGATCTAAGACGGTTCAAAGCGAATGTTGAAAATGACAAAGACATAGACTTTATCAGTTTAGGTACAACCCATCAAGTAGTCTTCGAAAACCTATTGGGGAAGGCCCACAAAGGAAGGATACAGACCAGAGAAAGGGTAAGGCATTAGGCCAAAGCAATCTTATATTGCTTCTTACCTGAAACCGGAATATCTGATTCTTTAGTTCTATTATGATATCCTGGTATTTTTTTCAGAGCCTATAGCATTAAAAAAAAAAAAAAATACACACCTGAATTATTTCTTGGAGCTAGGAACTTCCTTAGTGAATTCTCAAATATTTAAAGGCTTTCAAAGTTGTTAGCAAGAGAATGTGTAAAAAAAAAAAAAAA